ATATATATATATATATATATATATATATATATATATATATAACTAACTGTCAAGAATTAAAACTGTTGTTCTAAAGCTTACAAAATTTGATCCAAGTCAGTAGACAGTGATGTTGCCGTGTTACATTACAGAGCATGAGTAGCTGTTTTAATCCATATTTGGGTATTATCAACCTTCAAAAATAAATTTTTGGTGCAGTTGGTCTCTGAAAGCTAAAGTGCGCTTCACATTTTTGATCTGGAAGCTCAAATGCTACACACCTTTACTGCGTTCATGAAATCAGACAAGGTAAAGTCCTCATGACCAAAGATAGTCCAACGGTCCCAGATAGAAAAGGAGATATCATCTCTGGTCAAAACAAAAGGATCAAATTGGACCAAGATAAGAAACACACATCTTTTCATTTTTACAAGTGACAATCCGTGCATGAGTGTTGCTGTTACCTGATCTGGGTTCTCTTGACCGGAGCGGTTTCTGTGAGCACCATGACTGGAATGGCCAGGTTGAAGAAACAGTTTTTAAATAACTCAAATCCATAACCACCAGCGACTTTTATCAACTCCAATGACACCTACGGAGAATGAATAATAAAACAATCATAAATACATAAAGCAATGGACTGCACACAATGGAAATCATCAAAGAATAACGATTCCTCTTCTAAACAGGGTTGTTTCTCTCACCAGTCCTGCGACAGCAGCTGTAGATGTGGCGATAGCAGGGATGATTTTGCCAGCGATTCGTTTGGTTTGTAGTCTGTCAGCGGCCTCAATGGCATACATATGAGCTCGCAGAGCCGACGCTGATGCTATGAAATCTATGTGTCCATTTGAGTCGTCATCCTTTTCAAAGAAAAGCGGAGTCATACGGAGCCTCTCTAAAGACAAAAGAAGAAAGGAAAAGAGACATAAGAGGAACAGTGTATGAAAAGAGTAGGATATCATAGTTTAGCTCATACAGTTTAGTTATGTGTGAGTGCATGTGGATGTGTATCAACACACCCGGTGTTACAAAGCTGGAGTTGATGGCCTCCTGTAGCTGTGAGATTGCTTGTCTTTCCTCTTCACTGCTTACTGTCATTTTCAACTGATCAGGCTTCTTAACAGTCTCATCGGTCTCTATATGCTGATACAAATACACACACTTAGTGATCTTTCTTAAAGTGGAAGTGAGCAATTTCAATCTGGCACATGTATCAAATGGATGTCTTTGGCTTTTAAAGGGATAGTTCACCCAAAAATGAAAATTTGATGTTT